ATATATATATATATATATATATATATATATATATATATATATATATATATATATATATATATATATATATATATATATATATATATATATATATATATATATATATATATATATATATATATATATATATATATATATATATATATATATATATATATATCTGTGTGTGTGTGTGTATGTATGTGTATACGTGTGTGTGTGTGTGTGTGTGTATGTATGTATGTATACACACACACACACCCCGGGTGTGTACTTTTTGGTCTATACGATATATGTGTAAAATGTAGAAAATATTTAAACAAGAACATAAACAACACACTTTGACATGGAAACCAAATCGGTGAAAAACACGGGCCTTTTTTGGCGGTACCATGCCAACGGGGTTGTTTTATTGTATATCAAGGGTATATTTATACAGCATATCGTCGTGACCGCCATTGATGGAGCTCGAAGCTCCATCGAGAAGGAGAAGATGAACGGGGTGAATACAATAGGTGGGGGATGTAGAAGGTGGGCTCCCCCTTCTTCTTGGTTATGTGTCCCTTATATAGCGTCAAGGTAGAAGCCTAGGGTTAGGGTCCCTAGCGGGCTCCTCGCGTGGACCGGCCCAATATCTTGAATTAGGCCCAAGGGATATTATCCCATCACAAGCCTCCGAGTTTCTGAGTGAACGCGAAGTGTTGACTGAGAAACTATAATTTGTTTTCGTCTCTACGAATTTCTTCAATCGACACTCTCTTACACCGAAATCCCTTGAAGTTTCTGTCAGTGTAGGCATAAATCTTGACTCCTTAAGTTTCTCTTCTTTTAGTACTTAAAAAATTTAAAAACATCACACTTGCCTCGTCAAGCGACTACGAAGTCCATGAGACGGCTTTGTTGTGTTTCGAGGAGAGGACTTAAGAACCTCAAAAGATGAGGGATTTGGTTGCCTCGCGAGGTGGTTTAGGGACCGACCTCGGGGGGAGGGCTTTATTGAAGCCTCCTGAGGTGGTTTTTAAACCGACCTCTGGAGAGGGCTTTTGTGCCTCGTGGGATGAGGACTTAATTGGAGCCTAGCAAGGTGGTCTCTGACCGACCTCGAGAGAGGACCTTTGATAAATATCTCTTGGGAGGTTGTATCGTAAAGATTTGGTTGGGTGCCACTTTTGTGGGCTTAGATAAGCTTTGCCTATTGTTTTATTTGTTGCATCATTGACTTAGGAGAACGCACCCACTGATCTTGGGATGTGAACTCTTAGGACTTAGCCAAATTTAGCGCTCCCGTAGTAATTTTCACAAGGTATGCTTTTGCCGTTGTCCCAAAGGTTTGAGTTTCTTATGACGTGACTCCTTATTAGTTCGGAAGTTTGAACATCAAACTCTGATGGACCAAAGATTTCATGATGCAATGTTTGGTGCGGGCCTCACTTTGGCAGTTTTTTTTGTTTCGTGAGCAAGTGGCTCAAACAAGTTTCCCACTTGTGAGCACACCGCTCGACGATATCTTCTCTTTCTCTTTTTTTATGTGAAATTTGCACTAAATAGGACTAAACATATTGACTTTCTAAATGTAGGACTTAAATTTTTTTATTTCCTAAATAAGACTTATTAATGACTTAGTGGAAGGAATAATGTCCAGTAATGATGGATATTTAGTTGAATAATGACTACTTGATAATGACCAAAGGTCGTACATTGGGAAATAAAAACATATGGTCCTTTATTGGAAAAATCATTATGTTTAGTCCTATTTAGGTAAATTTCATTTTTTTATTTCGTTTGCCACTATCGGGCTTTTTACAAAGAAACATGGTGTATTAGGCCCAAATTTGGTAAATGGCCCGGAGCTTAACCTTGCACAATGGAGGAATCTGGCGATTGTGATTGGAGGCCTTGCGACCCAGGTGCTCACTCAATGATCAGCGGCGGTCAGCCATAAAGTGACCAACGGCGATCAGCCTTGAGGCGAGCTACGGTGGTTATCTGTGAGGTGAGTGCAGCGTTCAACCACGAGGCGAACAGGGGCAGCCAACGGTGAGTATGACCGGTAGCATAGGGTGCTCCAACTAGTGGCAAATACTCCATATCTCTGGTTCTCCTTCAACATCCGACTTTAATTGGCTCATAAGTCCAGAAAGCCGAACCGGGGTGTGGTCTCCATCGGAGATGAGCTCCGTGAAGCGACTCGCGGCGGTCAATGATGAGGCGACCAGCGGCAGCTTTGACGAGAGGAGGCTGAGGCGGTTCGTAGACGACGGCGAACAGCGTGCCTCGATCTCTCTCCTCCTTTTTGAACCAGTGGCGGGCTTGGTCGCCCTCACAGCGGCTGTGAGCCCTGGGTGGCGTGACTGACTGCATGCGAAGCCCCACGCCTTCGATGCAATTGCTATTCCGGATCTAAATCGGCACCTTGAACCACAGCAGACAAGGAGACAAACGTGATCTCCACGGCGGCGGTATGGGACCCCGACGGCGGTCAGCGCTGGGGCGACCTACAACGGAATCCAGCGAGGTTGTCCCCCAGATCTGCTCCTCCTCAAATCATTGCAAAATCCGATCACCAACACAGCACCAAGGAGCGATAAAGGACATCCGGCTGTGAAGCTCGGCATAGAGATCTGACTTGGGTAGATCCGGTCGCGACTTGTATCTGGGGTTTTTTTTATAGAAGACTAATGCTTGTAACATATCCGGATTTTCCGTCTCATCTTCGGAGCATCAGGTCCGATGGTTATTGTACCATCCCTCTCTAAATCTTTCTTTTGGATTATCTAGGCGAGGCAGAACGACGATTCGGATCTGAGGCGAGGCGGATCGACCAAGATCTAGCCGCAAGCGGCGGCAACCTCAGCTATCCCCTCGTGACAGTGATGATTGCAGCAGTTCCAAGACGATCTCGGCATTTGGAGAGGACCCCTTTGTATCTCCAAAGTTTGAACAAGAATGGTGAGGTCCCAAATTCCAAGCCCCACTTGTGGCAAATAGCAAATGGGATCCCCAAACAAAACCACTTTTTGTGATTATTTCGCATAATAATCAACAATCCTCCTATATACAATATATACAATGTTAGGTGTATTTTATGAACAGTGTTCCTGCCTAAACTAAGAGCATAAGTAGTCACAAGTCTAAAATGGAATGCCACGGGATGATGTGGCATCTAGCAACCAATCAAAATTCACCGTAGAGTTCCATGGCTTAGAACGGAAAGGCATATGCGTGGGTGGAGAGTAGACAGAGACAGTGGAATTGACTCGCAGATGCCTCGCAAAGGGAGACGACAATTGGCTGCGATTTTGCCTCGCAAATACCTCGCAAAGGAGTGACTCGTCCCTTGGCTCGCGCAGCGTTTCTCCTTCCTCGCCGTTACACATCGCAACTTTCCTCTCAAGGCAGGGCGAGGCATTTTTTCCACTCGCCGCTTCCATTGCTCTAAAGGCTTAGTGGATCGGGTTTGGGCCAGGCAATGGAAAAGACGGGTTTAGGCCTGCTTTGTGGTTCAGGTTTAGGCCTGGCGTGGTGTTGGGCTCAATAAAATTGCTTTATGTCTATTCAATTTTAGTGTTTCTAAAAAGTTGCATTGTGGAAAGGAGGATTGACCGGCTCCATAAAGTAGGTTTGAGAAAAAGTAACTTTGTGTCAAATCCATCCATTATAAAGATTTTTAATATCTAGCCATTTAATGAATAGTTAAAGAGATGAGAAGCATGTATTATATATACTCGAGCATAGTGATGTGAACTTCATTCCCAAAAAATAAACTTCTCAAGTAGCCTAAAAAATCATCAAATGTCTCAAAATTCTTCCTTAAGCATGTGGTCTCCCGTTGCCAAGCTTGACAACACTCCAACCAATTGGATGTTCAACTTACGGGTCGTGCGTGTCTATTTTGTTCCCGTTTGGACCAAAGGCGGAGATTCAATGGCGATCATTTTTCACGATAAAAATGTATGATATTCTCAACTTTTTTACGCTTAATTGTTATTTATTTATTAATTTCTTATATATATATACACACACACCCACACAAATATATTAATATACAATAGAGGCTCAAATTTTTTTAATCTGGTGTTAAGTTTGAGGCAAAATAAGAAACAACATTGCCATGGCTGCAACAACGAGGATTAATTCCGTGACGCCACGCCAAGATACGTTGATTTTCTTCGATGCCTCAAACATTAAAAGCATAAAAAACATAGTAACTTATTTCAGTCCTTCCATATCATCACAGCCCTGTATTCATACACACACACACACACACACAAAATTGATATGTTTGAGGCCATATCATCACAGTACCACTTTTCACAATCCTTCCATATCATCACAGCCCTATAATCAGACACACACACACACACACAAAATTGAATTTCATGAAAACTTTGAACAAAGGCAAAGAGCTGGAAATAATTATCATACATATATATCACATACATATATAAATATATGCATATACATGTGTGTGTGTGTGTGTGTGTGTGTATATATATATATATATATATGTGATGGACAATAAATCCACCAAATGATCCGATTCACGAAGCGGATCGTAAGAACAAAATTAAGAACGAGAATTCGAGAATTGGGTATGTATTATTAGCTTGATCTAGCTTGAATTTCCTCCTTTTGGGTCCCCTCTATTTATACATGAGCTATATGCACTTAAGGTAACGCATAATCGATGGAGTCTATCCCGTTAAGGGCGCGATCCCCTTTTTCCGGCTCTGTTACGGCCAATTTGCTCTGTCTCCTTCTCCGGACCGGCTCTGCCAGCTACGTTTGGTCTAAAGTCAACCGGGCCTGGCTCCATGGGCCGGCCCAGACCTGAGTTTTTTCCGAGTGTCTGACCCGAAGTAGTGTAAATGGTTCAATTGGGCCGCCCACTGGGTATCGGCCCATCATAAGCCCCCCAACTCCTCATTCTTCAGCTGGGCCAAGTGGAAGAATGGGGAGTTTGCAAAGTCCATTTGGGCGCTCCAGCGGGAATCCGGGTCGTTCCTTGGGTTCCGCGTGACGTCTGGGCACGATCTCCACAAATAGGTAATCATGGCCCGCCGATTCGCCTCCCTGCTGTCAGTTAAAAAACCGCCGCTAGACGCCATCTTTTCCCTTCGCCTTCTTCACCATTATCCGTCTGCAATTCCGCTGCTTCCCATCCCGTTCTTCATTCTTTCCAGGTCAGTTCCTTTTCTCACTGCCATGATTGTTTCAGATTCTGATTCGGCTACCCCATCGTCCAATTCTCGCCAAGCCGATCAATCGGCCTCTGGCCGTAACCCCGGCCGCACTCCATCACCTCAGCCGTCACCGTCGGCCGTTCCTGGCCACAAACGGCGCCAATTGAGGAAGCAATTCCCTTCCTCAACTCCGGTGGATGAGGGGTCGAGGGTTGGATTGGACGAGAACATCATGGCGCTGTGCCATTGTCAAATCACCGACCGGGGGTTCGCCGATGCTACTGACATGGTTGGCCCCTCCATTGAGGTCATGAGACCTAACAGTACTCAAACTGCTCTAGACGCACCCTCGGGGTTCTTCACGGTCCATCTGGCGTCTTTGAAGAAGGGGCTGCGCTTTCCACTCCACCCGTTGTTGGTCGAACACCTCAACGAGGTGGACCTTCTTCCGTGCCAACTGGTCCCCAATTCTCACCGGTACATCGCCGGTTACTTGGTCCGATGCAAGGCTGTGGGGGTGAAACCGACCTTGGACCATTTCATATTCACCTTCAAACTGACCAAGGGACATAAGGATTGGGCGTCCTATGCCAGCCTTTCCCAGAGATCCAGTAAACTCTTTGCGAGTGACAAGAAGGGCTCGACCAAAGACTGGAAGCCTTTCTTTGTCTTCGTTTCGACGGGGCCTGAATCTCCTTTCACGGGTTCAGGGCGCCCTTCCTTCCGCCGCATCCCATGCCCTCCACCTGATGCCACCCTCCTGTCCATCACTCGCCAACTCTGCAATAAGGGAGTTATGAACATCAAGGAGGTGGTGACGGAGGAAACCCTTGCCGGGTTGGGGTTTGAGTTTGTTCAGGATGAGCTTCGCCACCAACCCGACCTACTGAGGGACACCCCTGGGGGGCATCAGCCTGACCAGCTGAAGGACATTTGGTAATTGACCTTTTCTTTTCACCCATATGTTTAGTTTATCCTTTTCCGAGGCTGACCATTTCCTTTGTTTCCAGTGGAACTACAAGATTCAGGTGAAGAGATGGACATCGAACTCCTGCTCAGTCGCTTCACTGCTGGGAGGAAGAGGAAGAGAGAGACGAGGGGCCAGGGCAAACGCTCTTCGTCCCACCACGGGGAGGGTCCTTCCCAGGAGCCGGCTGTAATCGTGGTGGAGGACCAGGAGCTACGATGGGACCTTTGCCCATGTCACTGACCAGTAAGGGGGGGGGGGTGAGACACTCCGGTCTACCGCTGGAGCGACCCAGCAGTGACCCACAGCGGAGCCTCGCTGGAGGAAGCGGGGGGCGACACTGGATGCTCCACCGCTGGCCTCCAGCAAGCTGCTCCGAAACGTAGGGAGGAGATGGGGTCTCGAATCCCCTCGTGCAACCGGAGACCCTGATCACCCTGCCCGCTGAGGACCAAGCTCGCATCTCGGCCGGTTCTGAGGACGACCTTGATAACATGGTCCTTTTAAGGCTAAGCCAGGTACCTTTGCTGATCTTACCTGTACTCCTTTTCCTCTTTTTTTTACGCTCTTGACCCCCATGCCTTAATGCAGGCCACGCTGGGGATGATCGAGGTGGTTGGTAGGAGACGGGGTCGCCAGGCCGCCGCGGACGAGGCGATGAAAGCAGCCGAGGCCACGCAGAAGGAGCTGCAGGAAGAGGTCGCTCGACTCACAAGGGAGTTGGAGGAGAAAGAGAATCGCTGCGCGGCGCTTGCGGTGGAGAAAACTTCCCAGGAGAACCGCTGTGCCGCCCTTGAAGCAGACAAGGCCTCCTTGTCCCTGGAGATAGAATCTGTTTCTGCCCGCGTGCTCGAGCTGGAGGGGGAGAAAACTGATCTGATCCATCAGTTGGAAGGGGAGAGGAGCGGCCGGGTCCGTCATGCAGAGGAAGCGGTAGAATCCTTCAAGTCATCTCCCGACTTCACGGTGGTCACGATGGAGCGGATGGAAGAGCTAACGGCTGCTTGGCTCGAAACTGAACCTGGGGCTCAATGGATGGTCAAGGAGGGCACCAAGTCCTTCAATTGTGGACTTTTCCGGGCCCAGCAGGTCTTCCGTGACAGACTGGCTCAGCTCCCCAAAGGATTCTCTCTTCCCGACCTCGGCTTTCCCCCTCCTTGCCGCTCCCTGGCCGAGTTCGACCCCCGCCCTTATTTGGACGAAGGGAGCTCAAGCGCGTCTGAAGAGGAGGAAGGAGGAGAAGAAGACGGCCCAGGCGATCAAAATCCGGGGGCTAGCTTAGCCACGTCCAAGGCGGGTGACAACCCTAGCTCGAGCGTTTAACTTTCCCCGTTGTTCCCCCAGATTTTTGTAGACACTTGTTGTTGTTATGTGTTTTCTTTTTTGAAGTGACTTATCATTTTGATGCAATGCTCACATGCTACTTGATTCGTTGGATCCACTATGTGCTTCCTTTTTCGGCGTTTTACTCTCTTCTCTAGCTTAGCTGATTTGCATGTATGTTTTAGTTTGGGCCCAACTCCTAATTCCGGCCCGCTTATCTGCCCAGGCCCAATCCCAGGATTGGCCGGCGTGCCGCCCAACTGACCCAATGCTTTTCACAATCTCTGATTGGACCTTCGCTCTGCTCAAAGCTGCTTTATCGGTTCAGCTGCCTTGAGACCTGACCGGTTCTTCGGTTCCTTTGCCTGGGCCTATTTATAAGCCCCTTAACCCTCATTTTGTTCCATCGCCAAATAGTTTCCCTTTCTTCATTATTGCTATGTCTGAAGGAATTCCTGTCTCCCTGAACCTTTCCGATGGGCCGGCTCCTTCTTCGCCGGAGCCTGCCTCCTCCCCCAGATCAGTCAATTCTAATGACTGGGGGGCTAGACCCTTACGAATTCTGCCGCCGATTGCCTCGCCGGCAGTGGCCATCGGTGAAACCGCCGCCACTACCACCAAACCCCTATGATGACTTTAGTGAAGCATACAAGGCCCTCTCCGCCAACCGCCTGCCTGACGGAAGGATTGACTGGGACGCTCCATGCCCCCTCCATTCCCTGAAATGCATGGCCTGGGAGAGCTTTCAGGATGAGCACTTACCCCTCCTGGAGCATGAGTGCGCATACCACGCCAGTCTTGAGCGATGGACTGGCGAAAGTCGCACCAGTTCGCCGGTGAGGCCTAAGGAGGAGGTTGTGTTGGGGGAAGAACTGGGTTCCAGTCCACCTCGCCCCTCCGACCGTGCAACTTCCTGGAGAACCCGTAGGCGACCTGGAGTAGCTCGATCGGCTTCAGGATCTCCATCCTCATCTAGGTGATGCTGGTTGGGGTTCTGGAAGAAGCGAGCCGCCCTCCGTCCTTCCCTAATATTTGAAGGACGGTGGGGTTTTGCCGAGGCTGGGGGCGACCGACCCTGTTCTGCGTCGGGGAAGAAAGGTGGTCGTCCCGGACGGCCGGTGATCGGAGTTCCGCCGGCCCATGGAGCTGCAGAACTTCCCTTCAAACCTGCCTGTCCCCCCTAGGCCTTTTGCTCGCAAAACTTTAGATTGTCCCTTTTGTTGTTGGAAAAGTATCCCTCCCTTATGTAGAGATTGTTCTCAAACGTATTGTAGCAGATGCAAAAGACTATCCTTGGAATGTAACAAACACTTTTGCGAATGTATTCTGATGTTACCTGTTTACTTACAAGTTCCATCTTCTTCTCTTTCGTATCCCACTTTAGACGTTCAGGTTTCCTCTGACTAAAGTCAGAGAACACCTCGCCCTTTTTTTTTTTACTTAGCCATTTCCGGGTTATTTTACCCTCCTTCAGCATCGTCATATCTCCCAGACCCCCTGGTCGCTCATGCGATCAACGGGCCTTTACGTTCCAGACTTAGCCGCTTTCCTGGGCTCTCATGCCTCGGCGTCGTCTTCAACCTCGGTCGCTTTTCAGGGTTCGACGCTTCCCCCACTACTGGGTATCTTAACACGAATCACCATACAGTTTGGGCTTAGCGATCTCTTTTGGTCGCTCCTTTTTTTTTTCGAGAATTGAAGGCAAGATATGCCAAAATGCTGGTTTTATTAAATTTCAAGATAGAAGCATCGCTGGGATACAATCTACTGATAGAATTTAACAAGGTTGGCGGCATTCCACACTCGAGGAACGTCGCCGCCTGCTGGAGTTTGCAATCTAAACGTCCCATCAGCCAACACCTCCTTTATGATGTATGGTCCCTCGAAGCATTTAGCAAACTTCCCTCCATCGGTCGGTCGGCTGACTTCCCTTTTCCGAAGGACCCAGTCGCCCACCTGGAACTTCCTTGGTCGTACCCGCTGGTCGTGATATGACTTGACCTGTCGGCGGTAATTTTCTGCTCGCATGTATGCCCTTTCCCTTCGCTCATCAACGAGGTGCAGTTCTGCCCTCAAGTTCTCCTCATTCTCTTGTGCATCAAACGTCTCCACTCTATAGCTCAACAATGAGGTCTCTGCTGGAGCCCTTGCTTCAAATCCATATGTGAGCGAGAAAGGAGTTTCACCTGTGGCCTTCCTTGGGGTAGTCCTGTAGGTCCACAAGATGTAGGGCAATTCCTCCACCCAGGCACTTTTGCATTCCATTATTTTCTTCTTGAG